GGCGGTGCTGCAGGTCCTTGACTGTGACCTCCAGGTTCTTCTTCGTCCTCTCAAGGTGAGCACTTGTCTCCTGCTCCTTCTTCAGCTCCTCAGCCATCACGGCCGCCTGAAATCAAAATCAGAACCAGAAATCCTTTAATCGTCCCACAGCAGTGAAATGTACAATGTTACAGCAAAGGAGCAGATAAAAGGCAAACATAGGATTCGTGAACTAACTTTTAAGAAACACACATTAATAACATTAAGATAGAAAAAGAACAGCTGCAAGGTAAATGGTCTGTAAATACTCAACAATTACAGTGCATGATAGACCAAACCCATAACATAGGTGAATCAGGGATGTAGACTCACGTCAGTGATTGCCTTTTTGGCTTTCTCCTCAACATGTCTTGCTACCTGCATTGAATCATCCACTTGGTTTCAGTTTCTATCCTTTAAATGATTTGTGTAGGCTTAATTTACAGGCTGCTTCTGTCTGTACAGTATGAAAGTTCAAGATAAGATAAGATGGAATCAACAGAAATTAGATAAAGATGCCTAAAAACAGAAATAAAACATAGCTATTAACATACTCCTATTGTGAAGGTAAACTTCTGTTGTTGCAATGTTGAGGTAGAATGAAGGAGTCTGGAACCGTCGTTAGCCAAAGCACTGAGAGTTTTATTGATCACAGTACATTAATTACATACGGCCGGGAGATCATCTTAGTTTCACACTGTCCTGTGCTCCACCAAGATAATCTCTGCCCCAGAATAGACCCAACACGCATCAACATGAGGAAAGGCGGGCTCACAGAAACCCGCGTATACCTAATTAGCTATTAAATGCGAGACAATAATCTCCTTGTCTCAAAGAGATGCAGCTAGGTCTCAACCCTCCCCCACGGATATAGGAGAAGCGTTTGACCTGTGACCTCAACTTACAGAGGAGTCCTTGAGTGACTACAAGCAGATGTTTGCAGTATCACAGATTCTAAAAAACTATAAGAAGCTCTATAAACAGATCAGATTAAAATATTCTCTTACACCTATCACTTATACAGTAGGCTATTAGTAGTAGCCTTCTAGAAAATACTAATACAAAAAACAAAAACAATCATAGATATAGGATAGGATAACCAGTGCAAATTAAGAAAAAGATCCAATGGACACAACAGATAAAGAAGCAAAAAACGTAGTTCAATACACTGTTTCCAGGGGACACAAAAACGTGATGCACATGGCTGACTTGTTGTTGCCAATTGCCATGGTTTGTGGCTTATGGAGTTATAGAAGTCGGTATGGAAAATCACATCAAATGTAACTATTTTTTTGTTTTGTTTTGTTATATTGTGATGGCATGATTCAGGTATTATTGCAGATATCTGCTGTTAACCATAGCTGTTAACCTAGCGTTAGCCTTTTGCTAGACAGCTAAGTTACACCTGAACTAACGTTAGCTAATTAGCCTTCAAGTTTAGGTTAGATAGTTAGCTAAAACTTGCTCATTTCTAATTTTAAGTGGAATGAATGAATGTTCTCTGGTTAACTCATGTGTATTTATTTGAGAACTTGTATTAATTATGCACTGTAGCCCACGTGTCAATAAAGTCAAACTAAACCAAAAGTTAACTGGGCACTCCAGATAAAAAAACAACTGAAAAACATTTTTAAAGCTCAACATAGAACATGAATCTTCTCAGGTAAAACACTCAAATCAATAGCTCAATTATTAATTACAACTGGAACAATTAACAAGAGAGCTACTTTTCCAAAGGAAGGTAGTGCCGTCATAGTGTTTGGGATGTATTTTAATTTTTTTCCATATAAACTTCTTTTTTTTTGGAAAGATTGAAATGGAGAATTTCAATCTCAGCCAGCATCAGGTCCTTTCTGTCCTTCACCATGGCAACCTGCTCTCTCATGTCTTTGTGTCCTCTGAAACATCAACAAGGTGCAGTTGGGAATCCTGAGAAAAAAAGGTCTGTTAAGTCATAATATAGTATTGGTCTATCACCTAAATATATCATTCATCTTAAGTATTGATGCAATGCAAGGCAAAGCAAGTTTATTTATATAGCACATTTAAACACAAGGCAATTCAAGTGCTTTACAAAAATGACATTAAGAAAATGGCATTTAAAAGTAGGTCAGGCATTTAAAAACAGTCTTTAAAAAGAAAAAATAATAAAAGAAACATTAAAAGAAAAAATACATGAATAAAAGTTACAGTGCAGTTCAAGTTCAATTAAAAGCAGCGGCAAAAAGAAAAGTCTTCAGCCTGGATTTAAAAGTAGTCAGAGTTGCAGCGGACCTGCAGGTTTCTGGGAGTTTGTTCCAGATATTTGGAGAATAATAACTGAACACTGCTTCTCCATGTTTAGTTCTGACTCTGGTGAGAGAAAGCAGACCAGTCCCAGAAGACCTGAGAGTTCTGGATGGTTCATCATTTAGCAGAAGATCAGAAATGTATTTTGGGCCAAAACCATTCAATGCTTTATAAACAATACATGTACAACAGTAATGTTAACATTCTCAATCAACACAATGAAAAGAGACCTTTCCAGCATCATGTCTCTCGACTTGTTTACCTGGGATGTGCTTATGATTTTCCACCTGCTCATCCTGAACATTCCTCAGCCTTGACATGTTAGTGTTGACTTGCTCCTCCTGTACATTGTTTAGGGTTACACTGGTCTCATGAGAACAGGATTAGTGAGTGTAATCAGAATTATTCCACAGTTGTTTTTTTTCTGTCGAACAGTTCCATTCGGATATGGTCTCTTATTAAACAGACTCACTCTGGAAAATAAAACAAGAAACATGAAATTATTGAAGGGTGTTTATAGACTGTATTGTACGGAAGAGGATTAGGGCCACATACATTTTTTTTGGTGAGGATTTGAAAAAAAAACATTTTCGTTTAGTTCATTTAATTTTAATTTGTTCCGTTCATGGTATGCACAACTTAATGCATAATAATTGTTTACAAAACATGTCTCTGTAAACACCATTAACTGAAAATAATCTTATATGACCTGCTAAAAAAACACAAAATAAATAGAAATAGATGGTCTGTCCTTCATATTTCTTATTCACAGCCAAACATAACAGTGTCGTAGGATAATAAGAGAAACACAGAAACTTACTACAAACAATACTTAGTGCCCACTTGATAGTTAACGGAAAGAAACAAAACAAAAAACAACAACACCGAAACATCACATGTACAAGGAAAAGTGCAACACCCTCATCTGAGTCCTACTGGAGAATTATGCTCCTACAAGTGGTTCAACATGCCCTAATTGAACTTTGTATTAATGAGAAATAGGATATGCAGTAGCAACCTAAATATGAACGTAATACTCCTGATGAAAATAAAGTTACGTGGCCCTCTTTAAACTTTATTTATTGTAAAATAAAGTACTTTAGCCCCCCCCCCATGTAAACATAGTTGGCACTTAAATGTATCTGAATCAGCAGCCAAATGTTGAACCTACCAAATGTACCCTAGACAGCCAGATCCTTTTTAAAAAAAAGCAATTTTAGACAATGATAAAACTCTCAGAATTATTCCTTGTTGTGACTAGTCCCAAAACAAGTGAAATTGTAATTTCTCACAGTCTTGGCATTACTACAGGCCTCCACCTGGCTGCAGAGGTCCTCGAGGCAGATTCGTGATTAATTAACAGTCAATGTAACTTGCAATTGTTTAATTTGATCACGCTTTTGATGTTTACCATCTCTCCTGAACCTGATTCATCACCGGTGATTTGGCGACACATTGTAAATATTCTGCCACGCTATTCCAAGGTTTATAGGATTTAGCACGATAGTTTATTGTACCAATTTAAATACAATAAATAATTGAACATACAAATCCTTATATACAAATCTTATAAGTTGAGCAATGTAAATGAAAAATGAAACATTGAAGCAGCTTATTAACGACAGTACATAAACTGAACACAGTTTAAATGAATAAAGATTGCTATAGGAAATGTCACTCAAATGTCAATTGTCCAGAGCTGCTGTTTTTATACACGAGCTGCATCCTCATGTGAACCATTTGATTTTGTCAGAATTGCTTGACAACATTTATAGTTTTACAAAGCTTAAATAAAGACATTACACAACAGATACAATATTACCCAACCTGAAGGTTGGCAGCTGTGTCTTCATTTCAAATCACACCCGGTGATTGGATTTTAATTTGGAGAAGCCTTGAAATGTCACTGGTGTATAGTTACAGGACATGCAAATCTCAGATATCGGAAATAAAATGCAGGCCCTTGCAAGTCTTATATATCTCCTGGCAATAGTCTGAACAAGGATTGCAAACACCGTTATTTAAATAATAGAAATATTTTCCGCACACAAAAACAAAACAAATGTCTGCGAGGAGTTAAGAACAAGGCAGTTTTTGAGTTTATACTGAATGACTAACTGACTCACTGAAACATAATTAAATTTCCCCTCAAGGTGTATTATTAATTTTCATGTTTTGCACAGACTTATTAGTTGTAATCACACGATTTTATCATGGTCAAAAATAAATCCAGCTAAGGAGGGAGCAGTGATTCATATTTGGCATGAAGAGAATCATATATATTTATAGGACACAGTTGTCTTATTAAGCCCACAGGTTTAAAGAGATAGAATTTTCGAAATGATTGGTTAATTTCTCAGATTTATTTTATTACATTTCCTCTACTGTCCCCTTTAATCAACACACCCATTGATGGCCTGCTGGGTATTGATAGCAAACAGACATGAAATGCTAACCGAAATGCTTGGTTTGAAAAGGTTCTACAACGTTTCTTCTTTTTAACAAAATATATCTTTCTATGTTTCTTGACATTACAATAAGTTGTTTTTTTAATGATGGTTTCTGATGTTTTTCACGGTTGTTGATGTTCTTTTGATATTCTTTAATGTTCTTTGATATACTTTATACTTTATTTATTATTATTTGTGCAAAGTAAATTCCCCTAGGGGCAAAGAAGGTTGCTTTCACTCATACATTCAGGATGCATTTTATTGATATAACAAGAAGACAATTCAACAGCTAGTTCATATTTTATGAATTATGTCATAAGTCTTCAGAAGGATGTTTCTTCCTATTCAGCAGTGTCAGACTGGAAAAAAAGAAAGAAAAAACAATAATTAAACACATTTTCAAATGTAAGCTATCTTTTTATCTACATTTTATTTTAAATGTACAATTTACCATATACAATCGCTACATCACTTGTGAAAATAAATAAATGATGGTATACAGTATATACATATACATTTGACCTAAACCACCCTATTAAACACAAGTGCCCTCTCATTTTACAAATTGTTGTATCCTATTGGTTACTCTAGCAGTAGGGTTAGGTTAGGGCGCCTGCTGCTGGTGGAAAGACATCAGTGAATCAGCCAGAGATTAGAAAGCTGAACAAGAATTAGGTTTTCAGTAAGACAATAAGATCTTGATGGCAGCCTGGTCTCTTGGCCATGGAGTGGCACTTTTTGGTGAAGCTGAAGTATTTAAATGTGCTTCATTTTGCTGGTGTAGTTCTAAATGGTTGTATTTGAGATTAAACCTGCTTTGTTCTTGCACAACTCCCTTCTCCTTGCGTGTGAGCAAAGACTGTTACAGTTACCTTCCCAACATCACGGCTCTTGACTCTGAGCTTGTTGACCTGGGACTCAGCGATGTCAGCACGCTCCTGAGCTTCCTCCATCTCATTCTGCACCTTCCTGTGCCTGGTCATGTGGGTGTTGGCCTGCTCCTCCTGTGAAGGGTTTAAATGTACAGTATGTCATTTATGAATACTTCATCATATTAGTTCGGCTTGTTTGTGTCCTTATGGATTTGTGCTACGTAAGATCACAAAATATTTGACTCACAGCGTCCTCAGCCTGTCTCTTGTAAGCCTTGACTTTGAGCTGCAGCTTGTCCACCAGATCCTGAAGTCTGAACACATTCTTCTTATCCTCCTCAGTCTACACAAATAAACAATTGGTATTAATGAAGTATAGTGTCTGAATGCAAACAATAAGGAACTCATGATAGTTTTTTGTTGAATATTAAATTACCTGGTAGGTAAGCTCCTTCACTCTCCTCTCATATTTGCGGACACCTTTCACAGCATCAGCACCACGTCTCTGTTCAGCTTCAACTTCAGTTTCAAGCTCACGCACCTGTCATGTGATGATATATAGTGTATCAAAAATACTAGTACAGAGAAAGGTTACATTTCTTCTTTGCCCTAAACGTACATTGTACAGGCTAAACCTCTTATATTTTGAGCATTTATGTACAGTTCGTACCCTGGACTCCAGTTTCTGGAGCTGTTTCTTGCCACCCTTCATGGCGAGGTTCTCAGCCTCATCCAAGCGGTGCTGCAGGTCCTTGACTGTGACCTCCAGGTTCTTCTTCATCCTCTCAAGGTGAGCACTGGTATCTTGCTCCTTCTTCAGCTCCTCACACATCATGGCCGCCTGAAATGATTTTCAGTTTGGAATTACAATGTAAAACGTATTGACATCAATGGTCAAATGTTTCAAAGTTGCATTATACATAAAAAAAGAAGATTCATAACATAGACTCACATCAGTGATTGCCTTTTTGGCTTTCTCCTCAGCATTTCTTGCTTCCTGGATAGCATCATCAACTTCACCCTGGACCTGGACAAAGTCAGTCTCCAGCTTCTTCTTGGTGTTCATAAGACTGGTGTTCTGAATTTATAGAAAATAAACCCATGTTTAATATGATATTATTAATGTATTCATAAAACTAGTTTCTTTGGAATTAATACATAAAAAATGCACCTGAGAATGAAGCAATCCAACACGCTCACTGGCATCAACCAACTCCTGCTCAGCTATTTTGCGTGCTCTCTCTGTCTGCTCCAGAGCGGCTCTCAGCTCCTCAATCTCAGCCACCATCAGGCCATTTCTGCGCTCCACCATGCCAACCTGTTCCTTCATTTCTTCCTGTCCTCTGATAGCATCATCAAGGTGCAGTATGGCATCCTGAAAATATTCAAATAAAGACTCACTTTCTTTACTTTTAAACATGTTTTTTTCATTTAGCAATCAAACAGATCTCACCTTGAGCTGTCCCTGGACATTCCTCAGTTGTTTCTGGGCCTCAGCAGCCTGCCTGTTGGCATGACTCAGCTGAACCTCCATCTCATTAAGATCTCCCTCCATCTTCTTCTTAATTCTAAGGGCATCATTCCTACTTCTGACCTCAGCATCGAGATTGGTCTGCATGGAGTCGATCACCCTCTGGCTGTTCCTCTTGATCTGCTCCATCTCCTCATCCTTCTCTGACAGCTTCCTGTCAACCTCACCTTTGACCTGGTTGAGCTCAAGTTGAACACGAAGAATCTTGGACTCTTCATGCTCCAGTGTACCCTTTAAATAAAATGATGCATGGTGATGTATAGAATTTGCTCTTAGATATGCTATCATGTGAGTGGTCTGATATTGTATTTTCAAATATTACCTCAGCTTCTTCCAGTGCCATCTGAATCTCAGACTTCTGAACCTCCACAGACTTCTTGGATTTCTCCAGCTCATGGATACACTTCCCAGTCTCACCAATCTGTTCAGTCATGTCTGTGATCTCCTCTATAGAACAATGAAAGTAGACGTATAAGGATTTAACTCCACACAGGTTCATAACATACACCTGTATGTTACGAGTTACTTTTTATTTAGTGAGATTAATTTACGTTGCAGGTTCTTGTTTTCTCTCTTTAGGGTCTCCAAGTGATCCAGAGTTTCCTCATAAGAGTTCTTCATCTTGAACAGTTCAGTGCTGAGAGAACGAGCCTCCTTCTGGGATCCTTCCAGCTCTGCCTGGGCCTCTTCATACTTCTGCTTCCATTCTGCCAGGACCTAGATTTTTATAGGATAATTAAAAATCAGTTGGTTGAATATATGTATGTGTATCTTGTGACGACACTGGGTTTGATTATCAGTTTTACCACTTACCTTATCAAAGTTCCTCTGCTTCTTGTCAAGGTTGGCAGCTAGACCGTTAGCTCTCTCTACATCAATCATGAGGTCTTCCACTTCGGCCTGCAGCCTTTGCTTGGTCTTCTCCAGAGAGGCACACTTAGAGTTCACAGCCTCAGTTGATTCCTCAGCCTCCTGCAGACGCTGGGCAAGCTTTTTCCTGTAGGTAGCAAGGAAGGATTCGTTTTGTCTTGCATACATACAGACACTACAATGTATTCAGATGTGTTGACTAATGGAACAGTATAACTTGGTTTATATACTTGGCCTCCTCCAGCTCCTCAGTGCGCTGGATAGCATCAGTCTCATATTTGGCTCTCCACTGAGCTACCTCACTGTTGGCCTTGGACATCCCTCTCTGCAGCTCAGCCTTGGCCTCCTGCTCCTCCTCAAACTGCTCTCTGAGCAGATCACAGTCATGACGGGCTGCCTGAACAGCATGGGCCAGGGCGTTCTTGGCCTGATGAACAATAAAATATGTGTTACTTACCTATGAAGCAGGCAAAGATGTACATACATATTAAGCATTAATTATTATTTTTAATGACTACTATTCAAAAAGGAAGACTTGATTCAAGATAAACTTATCATACCTTCACTTCTTCCTCAATGTGCCTCTTAAACTCCTCGATCTGCTGAGTGAAGGCCTGTTTGCCTCTGGTGAGCTGGGAAACAAGAGCTTCTTTCTCCTCAAGCTGGCGGGAATATTCACCTGATGGACAACATGTAAACCTGTCATTTATCAAAGTAATTACTACTGGTTTCCATTTAGTTTCTCTCTCATATGGCTTACCATTCTCTGTCTGCAGTCTGGTCTTCTGTCCACTGATGTCATTCAGTTTGCGAACATTCTCATCATTTTTGGTTTTGAGCTCACTCAACTGATCTTCAAGAGTTCTGCACATTTTTTCCAAATTGCCCTACAAACAGAAAAAGTATGTTGAATATTTCTTTAAAACCATAAGAAAAAGCACACCCCTTGCAAAAACAAACCACTCACCTTTGCTTTGGCAACAGACTCCATGTTGCTGGAGAGATCATCAATCTCCATCTTGAACTCGCTCTTCTCCTTCTCCAGCTTCTGCTTGACGCGCTGGAGATTGTCGATCTGCTCTCCCAGCTCTGCAACACTGTCAGCCTGTTTCTTGCGGAGAGCTGCTGCAGTAGCTTCATGCTGCAGGGTTGACTCTTCAAGATCCCGACGCAGCTTCTGAAGCTCAGCTTCGCGCTTCTTGTTCATCTCAATCTGAGCGGATGTTGCTCCACCAGCTTCCTCCAGCCTCTCACTGATCTCCTCAAGCTCCCTGGAGAGGTCCGCCCTTTGCTTCTCCACCTTAGCCCGAGCAGCCCTCTCAGCCTCAATCTCCTCCTCCAGCTCCTCAATACGAGCCTAGATTTAATAATGGTAATGACCAGAAGGTTTGTTAACCTTTGTTGTTTCCAAATCACTTATTAAATATATCTTGTGAAATACATTACCTGGAGTTCCTTGACCTTCTTCTGAAGCTGAGCACCAAGTGTCTGTTCGTCTTCAATCTTGCTGAGGAGCTGGCTATTCTCAAAGTCCTTCCTGAAGAGTGGGAATGCAAATATTTACTATACCTTTTGTTGAAAGAAAAAAAAGGTTGCACTGTGGCAATAGAAAAATATGAGGTTTAAAAGTAACAAACAAACAAATACTTCTTGATTCTCTCATCAGATTGCTGCTTGTCATTCTCCAGATCCATTACGGATTCCTGGGTCAGTTTCAGATCCCCCTCAAGCTTCCTCTTGGCTCTCTCAAGGTCCATGCGGAGCTTTTTCTCTTGCTCCAATGATCCCTCAAGCTATCAGAAGACAGGTATTGATAAGGCATTTAACAGACCAATCATCAACACCAAGAAGTCAATATAAGAACAAAAAACACAAAGTCATAACAATTGTTTTCTTACATCGTCCACTTGCTGTTCCAGCTTTGTCTTGGCTTTGGTCAGAGTGTTGACTTTGTCTTCCTCTGACTGGAGATCATCAAGTGTTTGCTGGTGCGCCTCTTGGAGGGCTTTCTTCTCCTTGGTTAACTTGGCAATGGATTCATCTTGAGATGCCATCTCCTCTGTCAGGTTTTTCACCTAAAAGAAGGGTACACTTTTAAAGTAACTTAGCATTCTATACATGTTATTCTGTGCAAAGGTTTTTATCATTTTGTATCAGTGTATATTTAAAGTGATAGAAACCTTATTTTCTGTGGCATGTTTCTCCTTCTCCACTTTAGCCAAGGTGAGCTCCAAGTCATCAATATCTTTCTTCAGCTCTGAGCATTCATCCTCCAGCTTCCTCTTCTTAGCAGTCAACTCACCATTCATTTCCTCTTCATCTTCCAGTTTCTCGGTTGTCTCTTTGAGTTTGGCCTCAAGCTGGATCTTGCTCTTAATGAGCCCTTCACATCTTTCCTCAGCATCAGAGAGATTGTCTCCTTCCTATATTGTAGTTTGGACATGCAATGAGTCTGTTTGTTATCTTCTTTTTAGAGATTTTAATATTCATTGATTTTTGTTTATTATTCATTTAGTTAATCTACTTTTGCAATATAGTAAGAAGGCAAATAAAGTATATGGCCTCTACTTAGCTCACCCGGAATTTGAAAATGTGAGCAACAGTTTTCAATGATTTAGGATTACTTGTGATACAATAAGACTTGCTTTTGTTTACTACTTACCGAAGCCACTTGGAGTTGCAGGTCATTCTTTTCCTGCAACAGGGAGACCATTTTCTCCTCCAGTTCCTTCTTCTTGGCCAGGGCAGTAGCCAAGTCTGATTTCATCTTATCATAGTTCTCCTTCATCTGTAACAGCTCTTTCTCCGTCTCAGCACTCTGAAGAAGAGGCTTGATCTTGAAGTACAATTTAAGCCATGGCCAATTTTTCACATTCATGAAAGAACGGATATTGTACTGGACAGCAAAAATAGCTTCTCTAAAAAGAGATAATACAAAAGGTATTATTACTGAAATGAAATCTGTAAAACTGCTTAGAATTCAACCAAAAATACATGTACGATACATTTAAAAATGTACACTAAAGTTATATGTACTGTATGATAATTCTACCTCCTCTCCATCATCTTAACAAACTCTCTCCTTGAGAGGAAACCTCTCATGCGAGCCTGAGTCATGGTCACCAGCTTAGCCAGTTTATCATCTCTCAACTCTTCAAGGGTACCCAGCAGACCGGCTTTGAAGAACACCTAGGTTATCAAGTGAAATAATTCAATCATTTGTATAAATGGATACTGGACATATGCACTTCATAGCTATTGATATTGTCCATAGAAATGTACCTTAGTGTGCCCAAACTTGTACTGAGTGTGGTCTACATCAATGGAGCCAAGCAGCTTCTCTGAAGCTTTCTTGTTGTCAATAAACTGTCCCTCAGGGATGATACTGGCATTCAATACTTTGTATCTGCAAGAGAAAACAATGTTGTTACTTATATTTACCTCTCATCTTTTATTGGTGGTTTTTTTGTTGTACTGAAATTAACTTGACTTGCTAATAATTAAAACTGCAGTTACCTCTGCTTAAAGTCAGCGTAAAGGACTCTGCTTGGGAAGCCCTTTCTGCAGATTCTGATGCCTTCCAGCACACCGTTACACCTTAGCTGGTGGATGACCAAGTGGTTCTGCATAAGACCTGTAAATTGTACCAAATAATTCAGCTTAACAAGCATTATGGCTTGTGATTGTTTTTACAGCACATATAAAAAAACAAAGACCAATACATTCATTCTGTGTATTGCAATACATTGTATTGAAACATTGCTTTACACAACCATGTTGTATAAAGTCAATTCAACTTTATGCGCTTCTTACCTGGGGTCTTCGATTCATTTGGAATCAGGCAACGGACAAAATGAGGGTGAGTGCTCCTCAAGTTGAACATCAGCTTTCCCAAGTTCTCCTGTGCATTGGAAAACACAAGATATTAGGTCAGCTGAATTTCAAGATGTGTTAAGCAACTGTTTATCATATTGTAATTTGAAACAATACATACTCTGAAAAGAGCAGACACAGTTTGGAAGGAACCACCCTTCTTTTTTCCAGCCTTCTTACTGGCACCAGCCTCTGTTTTAAAACAAATATATTTATGTGACTGAATAAATAAAACCAACGTTTTTTTCTCTGTGGATTAGATTTTTCACACAAAAATACTATACGATAGTTATTACCTTCACCACCATGAGTTAGATACAGCAATGCCAGTAGTTTGTTTGAAGCTTTCTGGTAGAGCAGAACAACTGAGTCATTCAGGGGGTCCTTGTTCTTGTCCAGCCAGCCAGTGATATTGTAGTCCACTGTACCGGCATAGTGAACTAGGGAGAAGTGAGCTTCAGCCTTGCCCTTTCCAGGCTTTGGCTTCTCAAAGGCCTTGGTCTTGCCAAGATGCTGATCATGCAGCTTGTTCTTGAAAGTTGTGTCAGAGGCCTTGGGGAACATGCACTCCTCTTCAAGGATGGAGAAGATGCCCATTGGCTTGAAGGAGTTTACATTTTCTGTTAAAATTCAACTGAGGAAGCAAACATTTGCACATGAATCAAGATGTTCTTCTAATGTCAATACATACCTTCTCGATAAGCTCAATGCAGGCAGCCAAGTCCATACCAAAGTCAATGAACTCCCATGCAATGCCTTCTTTCTTGTACTCCTCTTGCTCCAGGACAAACATGTGGTGGTTGAAAAACTGTTGCAGTTTCTCATTGGTGAAGTTGATGCAGAGTTGCTCCAAGCTGTTGTACTGTAGTTATTGAAACGTTTAATTTCATTGCAAAATAATGTTGAAATTCAAAACTGCTCAGATATTTTTCAACTTACATCAAAGATCTCAAATCCAGCGATATCCAACACTCCAATGTAGTACTGTCTGGCCAGCTTTGTGGCCAACATCTCATTGATGCGGATGACCATCCACAAGAACATTTTCTCATAGATGGACTTGCACAGAGCACTGACAGAATTTTTGACCTAGAAATAAGGATTTTAGTGTAGTAATTTATAAAGAAACATTTTCATATCACAATGTCAACCTTGCTAACATTTTGGCAAATATTTAATGTACTTTTTGTTACCTGTGACACAGTTTGACCTTTGGTCACCATCTCATTTCCAACCTTGACTCTTGGGTAGCACAAACATTTCAGCATTTCGGCTGAGTTCAGGCCAAGGAGGTAGGCGATTTTATCAGCCTCTGAATGAAAGAATCAAAGTAATTATCAAACACACGTGAACTATAAATTATTACACAAATCTTAAAATGTTGAGAATTTCTTATTTACCCTCATTGCCATCAGGTTCAGCCTGCTCCTCACGCTGCTTTTGCTTGAATTTCATGTTTCCATGATGCATCACAGCCCCAGTCAGCTTGTAAATGCCCATTTTCTCCTCACTAGTGAAGCCCAATATGTCAATTGCCATCTGCAATGTAAATAAAGCAGTTATTGGTATGGGAAACATTTTCCTCTGTGTAATATATTTTTTCATTAAATTGTTGTCCTACATCTGTTGCATCAAACTCCTCCACATCATCTATGCTTTTGACAGTGATTTCACCCTGACTGATCATATGGTAGTCATAGGGGTTGGTGGTGATAAGAAGAGTCTCTAGAAGAAAAATATATAAATACATAAACAAACTTGTTTTTTTTCTGGAATTTTTTTTAATCTTTTGGTATAACATACCCAGGACCTCAGGCCTGTGGCCAGTCATCAACTGATAGAATATATGGTAGCTTCTCTCAGCAGACAACTGGAAGGTGACACGGGACTTCTCCAGCAGATCTGTGAATTACAAATATAAATTCAAACTGGAATTACTTTACATTTCAATGTATCATTTCAACAGAGACCAGATTTTAGGACAAATAACTCTTGACTCACACCATGTTTAAAACTTACATGTTTCAATATCAGCTGAAGCCAGCTTTCCAGTAGGGCCAAAGTGGATTCTGATGAATTTACCCTAGATGGCCAGGTCATTAATAATCAGTTTTTCTAATCCAGCAACAAAAATGTAAAAATATATTTCCTGTATTACTCACAAAACGAGAGGAGTTGTCATTCCTCACAGTCTTGGCATTACCATAGGCCTCCAGCAGAGGGTTGGCTGCAATGATCTGGTCTTCAAGGGAGCCCTGCAAGAAAATATTTGATGTACATGAAAAATACGCATTGACATGAACTTTTCTGTGAAATCGTTTTTTGTTAAGCTTCTAGTTTACCTTAATTTTGCCAGACGATGACTCAGCCTTCTTAGTAGATCCAATAGCTGCAATTGTTGCAAAGTACTGGATGACACGCTTGGTGTTCACTGTCTTTCCTGCACCGGATTCTCCGCTGTGTTACAGGAGGCACATTGTCAAAATTCTGCTTCATTATCATGAAGCTTATAAATATTTAATAGGCAGCTTGTTTTATACTCACGTAATCAGGACAGACTGGTTCTCGCGATCTTAAATACAAACATACAGTACATAGTTCACATGATTTCCATTTTGAATGTTCATTCCAAAAGTTTTTGTTTAAAGTACATTTCACTTCTGTGTATTTATCATCCTTAACACTTGTAACATTAATCTTACCAGTGTGCATGAACTGATAGGCATTGTCAGAGATGGAAAAAATATGGGGTGGTGCCTCAATCCTCTTTTTGCCTTTGTATGCATCCACAACCTGAGCGTCGTACACAGGAAGCCACTTGTAGGGGTTCACAACGACACAGAACAGGCCAGAGTAGGTCTGTAAAAGCAGATAGCATAAACATAGATACACATATATACATATTTACATTCACATTGAAACATTGTATGGCAGAGTGGAAACTCACATAGATCATCCATGATGAATAACGCTCTTTGAGGTTATACAGCACAGCAGGCTCATTGAGATGGGTCATCATGGCCATGTCCTCCATTTTGTCATACTTTGGAGGGTTCCTGAGATGGATGTCCTCCTCTTTTACAGTGAGAGTCTGAAAGGAAATTCATAAAATAATAACATTCTTAATTTCTTTTTAATTCTTTAATTCTCTAGTGTCAGTAAAAAATGTACAAATACTCCAGTAAATGTCAAGATATCGTTCTTTACAAAAAGTGAAACAATGAATCACCTTTCCAGAATCTGTATCAACTGTGGCTTTGCCACCCTCTTTCTTTACAAGTGTACCCTTGAGGTACATATCCGTCACATCAGCCACAAAGTAGGATGTTTTGGCATCAAAAGGGGCAGCCTGAGCCTCAATCCTCTCCCTCTCTGTTTTTCGGAGGTAAATGGCCGCCGGGCCATAGGAGGCCATCTCCGCATCTGTGCTCATGATGGCACTTTAGAGGAGGCTGAACAGATGAGGAGTCCACAATAGTTTTAACATGACAACATATATGGTTTGCTATCATGGTGATAGTGGAGATAACATGCTTTTGGTGAGATCTTTTACCTTAGCTTGTTCCAAAAAAGACGAGTCTCAGATCTATGAAAAGATCAGTAAACATGAGTACAATGTTTTTCTAGTTCTTCAAATTTGAACTGCAGACCTTCAGGTTCAATTTAAGAACAGGTGTTGGTAAAGGTGTTAGAATTTCTTCTGACTTAAATAATGTATGTTCATTAAATCACCTCAAATCCCTTCACAATCAGAGATTAGTATTACTCTTAATCATCATGCAGTATGTATGTGAAAGCATGTGTTGTAAAATAAGCTGATTAATTGTGTAATGTTTTGGAATCAATTATTTCTTTAGCTGTTTTGGAATAATGCTTACCAGTCAAAACTACTATAAGATAACTCTGTCGGACAGAATAAGTGGTTATTATAAACAGCAGTTGTTGTTGTTATTAAGTGGTTAGCAACACATTAACATGAGAGACTAATCAAAAAGAGCATACAATTGGAGGTCCTTCTGAGTACACTCACCTGTGTTGGTGTCCTTCAGTTCTTGTGAGTCCAGCTCTGCCTCTTTTATAGAGAAGGGGAGTGGCTGGTCAGCAGTTGTCTCACTCTATTTGGTCATGACCTTTTTCCATCCTGTTGCTTATTTTGTGACAGTGATGTTTCAGGAGATGGCAGGCATGATTCTATTTAACTATAATTAAAAAAATACAAGATATATTACACACAAAGTTGCTATATTCCAACCTAAAAAACTTTCAGTAAACAATATCTAGATTAGGGGTCTGCTTAGGGGAGCATGGATGTCAACATATTTAGAGAAAAGCAAGGAGATGCATTTTGCCACTACATTATCTTTGTGAGTCACAAGCTTGCTGCTTTAGATATTGGTCAACTACTGCCTCGACCAATATTTGCAAACTTGGAACAAATTGTATAATTAATTGAATATTGCAGAATAGGGTTTGTGTAGAATTCCAACCATTCTAGTTATTTAATTTACAGGACATTGAAGTTGAAACATCTAATGGACATTAACAGTCTTTTATTATCTTCATGGCCAGCAATGGGGCTTTTGTTTTTGAAAGTCTTCCAAAATCCTCATCGATCATCTTTAATGTAGATTTACACCTTTGTCAAAGTTTGTAAATCTGGGTGGGAAAGCATTTATAATGTTAAATAATGTTTGATGATGACAATTGTATATTTCATTATGCTTAAAGCAATGTATGAAGAAAATATGTGTCAATAATACTTAAAGAATAGGTAGGGCGAATAGTGCACGATGTGATCTTGTAAATAAAAATAAAAATGCTTTATTTATAGAGTTTACATACATCTTATTGATGTGTCTGTGCCATGTGAGATGGTAGTTTTTGGAAATGCCCCCACATGTCTGTTGTCTACATTTACGAGACACTGGCACATCTGCTGTAATACAATTAAAGATGAGGTACCATCCATATAAATTAAATCGGCTGTTATATAATTCCCTAAATGGAAATGAAAACCGTTGGCAAAACATTTGAGATCAAGCTTAAAATAAGTTGCACACAAAGCAAAATGATTTTCATCCGTGTTGCGACATTTGATACTTAGGAGATGACCACAGTTTCTTGAAAAACTTGTTTCCATGGCAATTGTCATGATTTAAAGTATCCCAGTGACCAACACGTGTGTTATCCATCAATGGTTAGCTTCTTTACGTTATAATTGGTATCTTACCATTTATTTTAGCAACACTTTAACTTGATACTTTTATGCCAATAAAGCCAATTGATTGGTATCATTTAAAATGAGTTTATTGAATTAAACTGCATTGTATTAAATGACCCTGAAAGACCCTGTCACATGTCAGATTTTGAAGAGTGGATTAAACCTTTACCAGGGAAACTTCCCATCTTTTGTCTCTCATTTGTTACGACCACATGCTACCAGCTGTAAATAATTGTTTTGCGAGTTCCTCCAAGGCGTTTGTTATGTTTGTAATATGACTCTATATCACAGCCAAACTGGGATGCTCATCCCACCTACTTTTTATCATTGTAAAAGGTTATTCTAACTTGGACCCATGAGATATGTCGTTCCTTTGACATTTTAATTGTTTGGATTCTGACGTGGAACAAAATCCACAGTGTTTATTTCTTATGTTGCAATAGCGACATGAACAAGTACCCTTCAGTGGAAAACTCAAAGGGCTAACAGATTAAGAGGCATCAAAAGAATGAATGGAAACCTCATTCTGCTCCAAGATTCCAGGTCATTGTTAAATGTTCTCCTTGAGATAGAGTACACAGACTTGCCATACTTGGCAACCTTGACCTATTTGTCGCCTGTGACATCCCAAATAAAGAACCGCATGTACAATATTTAGGAGAGGCTTAACAGTAGCCATTCTTAAGCCCTAAACAGAATTGTATTTTCTTAATAGGCGCGTTCACACCGGAGTACTTTTCCCGTTTAGTTCTGTTAGTACCCCATACATATTGGCCACGTTTCCTCTGTATTCATTGTCAGATTTGTGTCCTTGGTTTTAGTTTATGTAGTTTTTGAGGATCATGAAGCTATTATTATAATATCATCTCAATATCATAATGGACAGAGGCCCATCAGTGTACCTTCTTTCCATCATCTTAACATACTCTGTCCTCATGACATACCCTCTAAGTCATGGTCAGCAGGCAGCAGCACAGCCAGTTTGTCATCTCCCATCTCCTTCATGGTATCTGTCACGATGACAAGAGACAAACTTAACATTACCAAAACAGGGGAGCACGAGTAAAGATTCCAGGATCAAAACTTCAAGGACAAACATGGAGCGTGACGTGAAGGGAAAGACAAACAATGAACCAACAGGGGAAGAGAAGAAAAATAAATGACTAAATACAGAGAGGGGTAATCACGGGACAAGAAACAGCTGAACAGGGGAGGTAGACACACAAGGGCAACAGGTGAACACAATTAGACAATCAGACACAAAACAACACCCATAACAAGACAGACAACACTAAAAAACGTGACATAACATTAGGATCGTGACAGAACCCCCCCCCCCCTCAAGGGACGGATCCCAGACATCCAAAAAACACAAACAAAGTCCAACACCTCGAAAAGGGTGGGTGGAGGGGGTCCGGAGGACGGGTCTGGGTCGACAGCTCAGAGGCAAGGCAGAGGAACAGGAGGTGGTCTCGGGCGGACGACCCGGGGGCAAGGCAGAGTTCATGGAGGGGGTCTCGGGCGGACAACCCGGGGGCAAGGCAGAGTTCGAGGAGGGGGTCTCGGGCGGACGACCCGGGGGCAAGGCAGAGTTCATGGTGGGGTTCTCGGGGGCGAAGGCCGCTGGGGAACTCAGGAGGCCGGGCACAAGGTCGGGCAAGAAGGCGGCGACAGGACAGCTCCGGAGGGCGAACAGGAAGGCGGGTGACGGGATAGCTCCGGAGGACGACGTACGCTGCAATGGGACCCCTCCAGTGTCAGCTGGATCGCCGGAGCACTGGGATCGAGAGCAGGAGCTGGTGGGACCCCTGGCGGGACAGGCGTAGATGGGACCCTGGACGGAACATGGGCTGGTGTCAGTGGAACCCCCGACCGAGCAAGGGCTGGTGTCGACGGGACCCTCGGCATGGCACGTGTCGGCGGGACCCCCAACAGGACAGGATATGGTGTTGGCAGGAAATCCGGCGGAGCAGGTGTCGGCGGGACCCCAAACAGGACAGGATCTGGTGTTGGCAGGAAATCCGGTGGAACCCCCAATGAAACAGGACATGGAGTTGGCAGGACCCTCAGCGGAACCCCCAATGACACAGGACATGGAGTTGGCAGGACCCCCGACGAAACAGGTGTCGGCTGGACCTCCAACGGCACAAGACATAGGGTTGGCAGGACCCCCGGCAGAACAGTAGTCGGCGGGACCCCAACGAAACAGGACATGGGGTTGGCAGGGCCCCGGCAGAACAGTAGTCGGCGGGACCCCCAACGGGACAGGACATGGAGTTGGCAGGACCCCCGACAAAACAGGTGTCGGCTGGACCTCCAACGGCACAGGACATAGAGTAGGAACTTGAGTAGGGACTAGAGAAGGGACTTGAGTAGGGAACTCGAGAGGAGACTCGAGAGGAGACTCGAAAAGGGATTTGAGAAGGGACTCGAGAAGGGACTTGAGAGGGGACTCGAGAGGTGACTTGAAAGGGGACTCGAGAGGGAACCTCGAGAGGGGACTCGAGAGGGAGCTCGAGAGGTGACTCGAGAGGGGACTCGAGAAGAGACTCGAGAGGGGACCTGAGAAGGAACTCGAGAGGTGACTTGAGAGGGGACTCGAGAAGAGACTTGAGACGGGACCTGAGAAGGAACTTGAGAGGGGACTCGAGAGGAGACTCGAAAAGGAACTTGAGAGGGAACTTGAGAGGGGACTCGAGAGGGAACTTGAGAGGTGACTTGAGAGGGGACTCGAGAAGAGACTCGAGAGGGGACCTGAGAAGGAACTTGAGAAGGAACTTGAGAGGGAACTTGAGACGGTTGGTACGCTGACAGGACACGGGGAGCTGGAGTCGGCCGGTGTTACGTGCCGTAGTGGGTGCTGGTGTTTGGGTGGGTGTGTGTGTGTGTGTTTTTCTCTCTCTCCCTCTATATTGTCTCCAGGTGCAGCTTCTCCTCAGGTGCTCCCAATCACTAATCAGGGCCTCCATAAAGGACCTGGGAAAAGCTGCAGTCTCTCTCCCCTTCTCCCCGGGCTGGATGTGTGCAGCGTGGTGTCCATGTCTCCAATATATATATATTTGTAGCAAGATTTGTTTTGCAAGTTGGCTGGTGAGCCGTGTTCCTGTTTGATCATTAAACGACTTGTTCGTTACTCAGAGATCGGTTTTCTCTCCCTTTTTGTCGTGCTTGGTCATCCTGGTGTGTTGTTACTTCCCTTTGTACCCCCTAGATCTAGAAGGGAACGTAACATGGGGGCTCGTCCAATCTTTCAGAAAAAGAGTGAGTATTTGTTTGTGGTTTAGTGTGTTTGGTAGCATTGACTTCCTCAGTTTAGACAGGGGAGTGTCTAACTGGGCTGAATCAGTCCTTCCTTCAGGCACTGATTTATTCCCTGTTGGGGGCAGGCGATTCAGGGTTTCGGCCGCTGATGTTTGCCTTTAAAGTCGCCTCGAGCCCGGCACGCCCCAGAAGATAGTTAGGTAAGTTTGGTAGGCAGGATCTGGGGAAGTTAATAATAAAAAATAAAAAAATAATAATAATATATATATTTATAAGTAGCCGTTGCTAAGGATGGCTTTTGTTTTGGAGCAGTTTGTGGCCAGTCCTACTGTGGGTCAGCTAGACTGCTGTAGGAAGGTTGATTTGCGGTTAGTTGCTGACCATTATCACGTTTCTGTCTCCTCTGCTCTTGTTAAAAGTGAACTCAAGGCTACTTTGCTAACTGGACTAGTTGAACAGGGGGTTTTGAGTCGGCCTACTTCAGTGGAATCTCCTGGCGCGGTGCCCGGGGCTGTAGCAGCAATATCTCATGGTGGAGGCCGCATTGGTGTTACTCCTGGTGTTCAGAGTGCTACGGAACATGCAAAACTTTTCACCACACCTCAGTTTGGCTCGTTCTCGGCAGGATCCTCACCTACCTAACCTCACCTACCTAAATTAGATGCTAGGGTAAAAGTGCGTATGGCTCGTCTCCAGTGCTGGAATTGGCCCGGTACTCACCGGTACGCAGTACCGGCACTTCTGGTTCTGACCCATGGAGTACCGGCACTTCTTGCTCAGTACCGGCATGCTGGCGGTACTCCGGTACTCATGCACCGTGCCAGTATTCAACACTCTCCCGCCGTTCTTATTAAACATCCATATATATATATACAGCCGCCCGGTACTCAGTAGATGCGTCATGAGGTGCCGAACGGACATTCTCATCGCTCTAACCGCTGGAGTTTCACAGCGGCTGTCAGCTGTTTACTCCTGTCATTCAAACAGAACGTGCTGGAGAGGGGGCGGGGCTTATCTTCTCCATGTAAATACTGTGGTGGAAACGACTATGTCAAAATTAACCTATTTGACCGTGATTTAATAGTAATACACGTTTCAAAATAATAATAATAATAATAATAATAATGCCGAAGTAACAACATACTGAAAACTGTTAGTAAAACCATGTTTTAATGCTTTACAATTTACATACCTAGATGCACGTGTGTTGTGTTTATGCAGTGCAACTCCCACCCAGTGGGTGGCTATGTAGAGTGATAGAACAGAGCAGGCACGCCCCCGAGAGAAGGAAAGCAAGTCACGTCACAAATTAGCATTTCTAAAATGTTAGCATGGATTAATAAAAGTGCAAAAAGACAGCGGTTGTCGCCGGAAGAAACTTCAAATACAGAGAATGCTGTGCCTGTGTTGGAAATTGTGTCTGATGGGGAGCTTTCTTTGGTTGATCCTCCTGCTCCAAGTTCTAGTGCATTAGCATTAGCACTAGCTCCGCCGCCTCCTCCAGAGCCTCTAACGTTAGCTGCTGCTGGCTCAACTGCCACCACCAACACCGGGCAAAGCGATGCACCTGACTGCTGGACAACGGACCAGGTGCAATATTTTTGCAAGACCAATGCATGGCTCCTTCTTAAAGATAAGAAGCTAGGATGTCGGATATGCAGAGATGTCAAATCTTTGGGGATACACACTGGACAAGGACTGAAACTGTCAACTGAATGGGGTGAGTGTGCAGTGTCTCATTTCGGTGTTGACAAGGGCAAACAACAAGCTAGCCTGAGAAAAAAAATCAAAGAACATAAAGAATCACAAGCCCATGTAAAAGCTGCTGACATCCTTACATCTGCTTCACGTGAAACTATTCAACATCAAGTGCAGTCTATGCATAAATCTGAATTAGACACCACTATCAGAGTTTTTCGAACGGCATATAAAATTGGCAAACATAGCCGGCCATTCACAGACATGCCAATTGATTTGAATGTACAGAAACTGAATGGGCTGAACGTGGGCAGGGTTTTGCACTCCAATAAAACCTGTGGCGAAATCATCGACCACATAGCTCATGAGCTGAAGAAAAAAATGGCAAAAGACATTACAGAAAACCAAAGAAAACTCTGTGTTTTGGTCGATGAATCTACCACTATTAGTGGTAAAACGGTGCTTTTTGTGTGTCTACGCTCAGCATTAGCTGATGCTGAGCCCGAAACGTTTTTTTGGGAGCTGATCGAGTTGGATGGAACAACGGCTGATGACATCACAAAGGCGTTAATGAAGTGTCTTGGAAGAGATTTTAACGAGGACTTTTTAGGTCAGTGTTTCGTTTCTTTTGCATGTGATGGGGCTTCAGTCATGCTAGGGAAGAGAACAGGCATTGCTACCCAGTTGTGTAGTAAATTCCCAAGCCTGTTTGTGTGGCACTGCTCCAATCATCGTCTAGAGCTGGCAGTTGGGGATGTGGTCAAGGAGGTCTCAGGGCTCAATCATTTCCAGATCTTTTTTGACAAACTCTATTCCTTGTTCCATGCCTCCCCCAAAAATCAGAGGCAGTTAGCGCAGTGTGCGCAAGCAGTCGGACAGCGTCTCCTGGTGATAGGGCGTGTTTTGTCCATCCGCTGGGTGGCTTCAAGTGAAAGGAGCGTCAGAGCAGTCTGGGAAAACTACCGAGTGCTTCATGATCACTTCACAAATGCTGCAAACGACACGAGCAGGGATTCCAGAGACAGAGCAAAGTACAAGGGCCTGGATGATG